CACTAGAACACCACAGTAACAAAGTCCACCCTTAAGTGCTGAATGAGGGGAGGCTTAAGGAGAAACAGGATATTTGCATGAGCGCAGGAGCAGATTAACCTTGCCCAAGGACAAGTCTGGCCTTTGCCTCTGGATCCTGAAAAGAAATCGCAAGGTCCCTGGAAGGTCCAGCCTGGTAAGTGTGTCTACCTGGGAGCCCTCAGGCACTTCAGTCTACCGACGTGATTTATAGTGGAGGTCTCGGGTCGCAGAGTCAGCTCAACCTTCGGAGGGGCTGGAGACTGTCAGCCACATGGACAGGCACCCATCTGTGCAATCGAGACACGATCAATGTGTGGATATGAAGGCCCAGGTGAGCTCCCCTGGTTGGCAATACTTTGTCACACTATGGGAGAAGTCAGCACTGTCTGCAAACAGGACAGACTGCCCACCAGAGGTCTGGGACCTCCAGAAGGAAGAACACCTAATCACTTGCAAGGGAGTTACGCCACCCGCCAACAAATGACCCACTGGATCAAAGCTCAATTAGATCCAGCCTCTAGATGGGATCACTGATTTATAGGAACCACAGAAGACAGAGGAACCGGTTAATCTCCAGCACAGTGGTGCAACCAGCCAAATCTAGACTGGCCAACTCCGCGGGACAAACCACCCAGATTCTCCCACAAGCACACGGGACAAAAATGGAGGGAGAAACCTACAGATGACAAAGAACATTAAGAAACATATCAACCAATAGTAATATAAGGCTTACTTGGAATGCGATTCAAGCAAATAGCTATAAAAATCATTTACAACGTTTGAGACAACTGAAAATTTGAACACTTGCAAAATATTAAGGAAATACTGTTAATTTTTAAAGAAGTGATATCATATGGGTTTGCTTTTTAAGTGTCATTGTTTAAAAGATAATGTGGAACTATTTAAAAAATTAAAAATAAGTAAAACCACCTCTACAGATAAAAACAATTAAAAATAAAAGTACCTCCACAGATGCTACCCAAAAGCAACGCAGTCAATGTAACATGTACCATACACCTGAATGTTCAGTGTCCTTTGTCCTTCAAGTGGAGGTTACCGATCGGGTTAAACAGAGGCATCTGCTTCCCTTCACTGACTCTGCCTAGCAGGTGCTAGATTCTTCCACTCTATGGACGTCCTCTACCACCACATACTTTCTTCTATTATCTCTACAAGTGCCATGGGGACACTGTGTGACCGCTGTGGAGGTAACCCTTCCCCAGTCACAGGGAACAGGGCCACGAACAACATTCGCTGTAGGGCACTATCTGCTTTAAGAAAACAGATTAACAGAAAATAGGGAGTGATTTTAAAGAAGCCATGATATTAAGAAAGATACAAACTGTACTGCTAACCGTACATACTCTTTGATATTCTTCAAATAAATTTTAGACAAAGAGACACATGAAACACTCGAAAAACAGTACTAGAAGTCATCGCTGTTTCCTTTACAGAAGGATTTTCCAGTTTCTTCACGCACGGCATCCCACCATTCCATTCTCTAGACAGACAACAGACAGATGCACGAGGCCACAAGTTAACAGGTCTTGTCTGGTCCACTCAAGTGTTTTTTAAAAATTCGACAAAGTTGCTGACGTTTTAAAATTACAAGATTTTAACATAACGCTGAACTACGCATCCACAATGCCACATGCCACCCAAGGGCCGGCTCCGCAAAACCCTGCTCCTGGGACAGCAGCAGCCCCGTCCCCAGGCTGTTCCCAATGCCACGGACAGGGGCCAGTTGCCATCTGGCAGCAGGTTCCCACCTCTGCTCTTCTGACCCTTGGCCTGGCTGTTCTTTACCTTAGTGGCCTACTAGGCAACAGACACTGGAGTCTGCAACTGCTAACTTTCGCACAGCCTTTTCAGGTCAGCAAGACGTCTCCAGACGGATGCTGGAAATTTTGCGGTATCTTCTGAAGTTCACATAAAGGGCATTTTGAACGTAAAAGTAACACAAAGAACACAGAAATGCCTATTCCGTGTGTTTCTTCTCATTAAGGCCCAGGGTGACTCAGAGCCCTCACTCCCCCAGCACACACAGCCTCACCTGCGATGCTCCCAGCTCCTTTCTGCTTTTTTTTCTTGGCTAGTTGAATGGCTCGGGAATCAGTTCTTGCTGAGCCCCCACTTTCCTGGGACCAAAGAAAAGTGTGTCAGTCACTTGTTCCAAATGGCAAAAGAAGGGTAGTAAGGGAACTATGGAAATGTACTAAGTCTGCCTCCTGAACAGAGTAGTCCGATAATCTCTGAGGATCTCCAGCAAAGGTTCACCGAGAATCAAATGCTACATCCAATTACGGTGACAACTAAACAGAACGAGAGGTGGAACAATATACATGATTTTATTATCCAGAGAAGCAAAGTTTATTCCTCCAAAGTCTAAAACATATTAAAATATTTTACACAGAAACTGTTATAAAAGGAGTTACATACTTCTCTGCTGTCCGAAACAAATAACCAGCTTCCCTCGGTGGTTCAAGATTAATTAGCTGCAGCACTTCTCAACATTTTCCAGAACATGCCACACGATACTTGTATGGCAGACCTAGGGAGGTCCTATTTCATATCCCCACTACAGAAGCCGCTCTGGTGGTGAGGCCTGACTCAAAAGTTATATACACCAAAACAGTAACTACATTACCGAATTCAGGAAGTTTACTGAGGGGGCCGAACAGTATTCAAATGGGACTTCGCTTCTATAAGTTTGTGAATGTGTTGATACGAAAAAGAGTTTAATACTTATCACTACAAGAAGAAAAAGAACAGCCCTCATCAGCTCGTGGCATACCTGTAACCCATTCACCACACACCATCTGTGCTCAGAGAATCGAGGCAGCCCAACGTCACACAGCTAGCGAGAAAATGAACAAGGAGTCAGGATCAATGTCATGGCGGCTTCTCCTGCCTCCACCCACAGTTACAGCTCCGGAGATACCGTGGTACCAAGGATCTCCTATTTCCCAAGGCACCAAGGCCCTCTACACAGGCCTGGCCTCCCCACTGATCGCTGAGCCTTGGCCATCTCCCCTCCTGGCCCAGTCACCTGGTGGTTCAGCAACTGCTGTGGCCACTTAGGCAAAGGCCGGCAAGTATGGCCATGCCACCGCCAAGCAAGAGCCGTCAGAAAAGGTACGACCGACCGTGCTTCTCTCAGACTGAAAGGCTCCATGGTAGATGGGTTACCACATCCCTCACAATGGATTCTAATTCAAAGGATTTAATTTTTTTTTTTAAACTATGGTAAAATAGGATTTAACGTTTTGAACAACAGAAGTATCACCACCAAATTTAACCCATGCCACAAAGAAACCTATTTGATCATTCCCATCTGAGACTGAGGAAAAAAAAAGAGACTCTCCCCCAAGAATCTTTAATTAAATTATTTTAAATTAAATTATATTAAATGTATTAACTGACATAAATATAATTAAAAGTATATTAACTGTGGAGCCTCACAACTGGAGAGGTCCTCTTATAACCCTCCAGAAACAGAAGCTCACAAACCACTCCTTTTCTTTCTTGTTAATTCTAATTTAAAAAAATTTTTTCTCTTTTACATGGTTTTAAAGTTTCCATTAAACCTGATGTCATGATTCCTCTTCCTCTGGCCGTTAGGAAGTCTAAGGACCTCTTATCCCATGGAAAGCACAAAGGCAAGACATTTCAACGTTACGAAATACCTCATTTTTTTTTTCCAGAAAAGAAACACATCATCACAGAATCACAAAACTCAAAAGGACCTTAGAAATCATCTAGCCAAACCCCCTCATTTTAGAAATAAATGAGAATTTAAGGTTCAGACAGGATAAGTGATTTCCTCAAGGTCATAAAAACTAGTCAGTTCCAGACTCAAGATCAGAATTCAGATTTCCAGACTTGTAGTCCAGGGCTCCGTCTCTTTTCGCAAACCAGTAAGAAATGTCTGCACATGAACGATTAATCCAGAACATCCTCAAGACTGAGTGTAAGAGAAGCGAGTTACGCAGTGGTGACTGAATAGAGCACTTCATACCAAATAGAAGCTGCCGGTCCCCGCACTGAGCCCTGTGTCTCTCTGAGGACTGTGCTTGTCGGCAGGGCTGCAGAACGCCGACCGGGGCGCCCCTCGGCTCCGTTCCTGCTGCCTGACAGTGTCGGGGCCAGGAGGTGAGTCCGGTTCCACTTTGATTGGAGCCAGCAGCTCCGGGCCACTGGTGCTTCCTGGTGGGGGGCTCGGAGAGGTCAATGTGGTGGTGTTGTCTGCTAAATTACCTCCTGAGGTCAAAGCCTGTGAGTCCTGACTCAAGTTCTTCACAGGCACTGCTACCAGACAGCCTAAGGCTCCTGCACTTACAGTCTGCACATCATCCATACTGAAGCTGCTCTGCTGAAGAACTGTGGCTGCTGTCCCAAGAACGAGAGGGCCGTCCAGGCTTGGAGGAATGTCACTGTGGGCCACCAACACCAGCGGGTCCATGGACCCCAAGGAACTATTATTAGCAGGGAGGGTCCCTCCAAGAGAGGAGCTCACCGAAGTAACGTCAATAGTCAAGATTCCAGAGTTCAGCGCCTCATCTGAGGCCCCCGCGGCACTCCCACCGTCCCCAGGTGCATCAGAGAAGAGGGCCGCCAGGTCTATGTTGTTGAGCTCACTTTGGCCTGGGCTGCCGAGTTCACTGTTGTGTGTAAGAGAACTCGGAGCTCCAAGCTGAGGGAAGAGATCTGAAAGAGAAACGAATACTCTGGTTGTTGTATGCCCTTTAGGAGATCATGAAGTTCTGTCTGCGCTTTGGATGTCATGCTAGCAAGTGACCTATCAAGGTAACACGTACACTTCCTGCACCTGCTGCCTGATGCATCGAAGGTGGCCACACACCAAAGAAAGGCACTGCTTGATAACCTTATCAGGCTTTTTACATACATTGTCTCAAATCCTTAAACCGACAGGGATTTCTGCGACCGGAAATAACTTGAGAGTCTACGTAATGTTTCGCGAAGTCACATCAACTGGTAACAGGAAGTGGCAAGACTTGAATTCACATCTTTCTGGCTTCAAACCCAATGCTCTTTCTGCTACACAACATGAACTGCCCTCAAGAGGACTGTAAAACCTTCCACAGAACACAAATCTTCGGAAGTCAAACATAAGCTGAACTCTGGCTCTGAGGTATTTTTGGAATCAGCTTGTGTCAGCTCATGTCTCATCAAAATCTAGCTACCACTCCAAAACAAATTTGAGTCATCGGAGGGTGATCAGAGGGAATAAAAACTGTTCTGCCTGGAGTGCTCTGGGATCAAGGCCCTGGCTCAAGGCCCCAGCTCTAGGGACCGCAGAGAACTTAGACATCAGCCACAGGGCACCCAAGGAGCTACATTCCCTCCAAGGGGCCTCTCCTGACGGGCTCCCCTCCTCCCCACCGCCACTGTATTTCCAACCTCTATCACTCCTACCTCCCCCTAGGCCATGATCACCTGGAGGTGGGGAGTCTATCTGACCCACACGGTCCCTTCAGCACCAGGCACTGGTGCCTGGCTCCTAAATAGCATTTAATGATTATAGCAAAAATAATTCTAATAAATCCCTCTTGAGTCTTAAGTGTTCATTCAGTCTCAGTTGCTGGTCATATCACTCTTTAAATATTTGAATCTTTGTCATTCAATTAAACACTTTAAACACACTTCCCTTGGAGGAATAATAAACATTAAGCATATTTTAAAAATATTTCGAGGAACACTCAAAGCAGGGATTTATACACCACTACACCCAATCAGTCACCCCAAATCCTAGGATTCTTCAAGCACCAAGCAAACAGGAAAATGGGAGCACAAAATATTTGGGAGCCAAACAGGGCCTTGAAGTTATTTCTTCCCAAGAAACTTCTACCTGAAGCTTCTAGAATGTGCCAGTGCCTGGCCAGAGGGAAAAGGCTCTCTCAGTTCTCTGGCTCTATTCCACCTACACCAACTGTTAGCTAATCCCAAACTACTTTCCAGTTGTGCACACCAGCTCCGAGTGCCTATTAGAGTTCCAACGCAAACCTATGAAGAAAATCGGCTACAGGGGCGCCTGGGTGGCGCAGTCGGTTAAGCGTCCGACTTCAGCCAGGTCACGATCTC